TAATATGAAATTGTGTGTGACCAGGTGGGCCGCCATTGTTTCCTGCTACGCACAACCAATTAGCACAACCCAGCTTGCAATACGTCACCTCCGCTGGCTCCGACAAACTGTCATTGTGACGACCTTAATGCCAAACTTGAGGTTTCAAAATGATACTCCACAAACCAATGGCTGACGTCGCGATAGGTTTACACTTGGTAAGATGTTTGCGTCTGCATCTTCCCAACCTGAAATGAGGAAGTGAGTTTTGTGGACAAAATCACAAGGTTGTGCAGAATTCACTGGAATTGGTTGAATTTGCTTTATTAGTTGCTGTCATAACATCTCAACTTCCTGGAGGGACTTAATAAGTGTAAAACACATGCTCACTTCAACCGTAAAGGAAAGTTTTAATACAAATGATAAACTATAGGTTTGTGTTATTTTACCTTTACAGTGCAGTACTTACAGTTTCTTAAAGTTGACTTCAAGTTACCATACATTTGTTGTGTTAAGTCAGTAGGTCAAGTAATCATCTCAAAATAATTCCAGCTGTTATTTACTAGAACAGATTTTCAGTGGGAAATTGTTGGAATTACTTTGGAAGCTTCTGATCAGCCAAATGTAATAATTTGGAAGCTAATTTGGAAAGCACCGGTTTTAATTGGGAGTGAACCTCTATATAAGGGCTTTAGCTTAGAGTGGGTCCCTTTTTTGCCCTTGATACCATAGGAAAATCATAGCAACGTAGCCAAGACCAAAAGAATTGTGACCCTTCACAAGTCTGGTTCCTTGTTACAAGCAATTTCCAAGTCACTGAATGTCCCATGAGCATCTATGAAAAACATTCATCTTGGAACCACATACACACATTCAGGAAGAAGGAGGAAATTATCCACCAAGTTTGAACAAGCCTTGTCCTGAAAGGTTCAACTGAACCCCAAGACAACCACATAGGAGCCAGTGAAAGAGTTGAGGAACAAGCTACCAAATCCACTATTAAGAGAGCCCTACATCACAAAGGCATGACTGGCTGTATGCACAGAAGACAAAGACCTCCATCCATGTTTCTGGGGTTTTTTTGTTGCTGGAAATGGGACTGGTGAACTCCATAGAATATAGGCGTCATGTGGAAATAGGATTATCTGGAAATACTAATGAAACAGTACTATCGAATAAAAGCATTAATAAAGTCGGTATTCCAGCAGGACATCGATGCTAAGCATACCGCCGAAGTTGTGACGACAACAAAGTAAAAGTATTGGAGTGGCCATCACAAAACCCGGACCTGAAGCCAATTAAGAATTTGTGAGGTTCAAGTGAATCAGCATATGCTGGTCTCCTTTCCCTCCAAGTCATTTAGTTAGGGTTACAACAACAAACAGGCTCTTGGAGGCTCTGCCATAGCCTGTAGCTATTGTAGGTAAACTAAAGTTACATTCACATTGTGTGATGCAAAAAATAAATGTGAAACAACCAATGAGAGAAGGGAGGTGTGGAAATCACTCCGTACGATTCCTTAAAATGAGTCTGCATCCGAGAATGGGTAAAAAAAAAAAAAAAAGGAAGGGAAAAAAATAACTATCAACAACATCGACAACAACATTGTTCCTGACACGAGCAAAGAAGAAATGCAGAATTTACAGCAGAAGAGCCTCACCACATCTCTGACATGTGAGATGGCCGTTACCATCTTTCAAGAATCAAGATCGGCCCAGGGCTCTCCAAAGAGGAGCGTAATCCATCTGTGTCGGATGCAATTGAAAACTCTCTGCATAAGTGGGCTTTGGAGCCGTACAGAATGCAAGGCTATCAGGGCTATGTGTTCAAGTACAAAACCGGTGAGCTCTAGCTGTATCAGAGGGATGAGGATGAAACAGTGGGGCCTCTGACTGCCGTAGAGATGCTGAGTTCCAATGACTGTGCGGTGATACCGAATCAGCATACCTTAACCAGCCTGATTGGGCATCAGGCATTTGCCCCTGTATAAATGCTGGAAAAGTGTCCGACAATATCATGAAACATCCAACCCACTCAACTCGAAGACTGTTTCACTTCCAAACTAAGATGACCGGGATCAACAATAGTTACTACGCCAAAGCTGTCAGCTCCACCCTCCATTATGACTCCTTATCTCAGCTTCTTTGCAACTTTTGGAAACTCTTGTTGTCATTGTTTGGTTCCTGTTCGTTGTTGTGTTTTTTGTTTTTGTTTTTTTTAAGCACATCAACCATGTGAACACAGGTTGATTGAGTGTTTAATATTGTTTGTGTTTAATGGGTGCTATTTAGTTTGTTTCAAATCTTGATCTTCTCTCCCTGGGCCACCTTAGAAGTAAGACCAGCAGTGCTGGAGGTGATGGGGTGGAGGAGGAGCGTTCCCTCAACAAGACTGATGAGGGACTGTAAACCCTTATGTACAGTAGATCCAATGACCAGTGCCAATATTGGTATCAGGCAGCACCGAAGACCATATCTGACCAAGACACAAGTAGCCTCCCTTCTGTTTGGTTTCACCTTCTTTTGTTTGCTAGACAGGCAAAGCATTACGAACTAATCAAACACTATAAAAGTAATGGTTTAATGGTTATATTGGCTAATATCTGGATGGAAATGGTTATATCTCCAACACAGATATGAAGTGATTGGATTAGTCATGGCTTCCAAAAAGGGAGAAATTTAAACAATAACAAAGAAAGGGAAACAGAGTAGATATAAGCTGTGATGAAATTAGGGGAACGAGTGTAAGTCAGTTAAGCTAACCAGTTTCCAGTTCAGGCTTCATTCAACTTGTTTTTAACTCGTCGCACCAGTCCAGTGCATCATGCATTTGCATCTCCATTACAATTATGAGATGGGGGACATCTGTGGACATGAAAGTGCAAACAGGGACGTGGGAGAGAAACTAAACTAAAACCACAGAGATCCAGTTAGAAGTTACCAAAGTACTCAACGCTTGCTCACTGAGATGTTTTTTAATAGAGAAATGTGACTCATAGCCTTAGGACAAGAGATTGTTGCAACACAGCTCTGTTATTTCCCATTATGCAACTAATTGAATCTTTTGTAGGAGCTGCAGGGTAGATCAAACTGTCAAACCCAAATAAAAATCCAACAACACCAACCTGCCTTCCTCCCTACTTAAATCACAGCGTATCTTTCTCTCTACGTTGCCTACTGTTTCACTGGGCTTTGAGTTTCCTAAATCCTAAATTGCCTGTTATGCTGTTTGTGCCATCAACATAATTATAAAGATAAAAGTAGTTGAGGTGTCCTATTGTACCAGACAACAAACTGCCATTCATTTGAAATAAGTAACATGTCTCATGTAAATAAATGTCCCTAAATAAATTATCTGTTGCTGATGCAAGTTTGCTTCTTTTTTTCTTCTTCTTTGTTTTAGGTCTGCCTCACCAAATTTAAGTGGATATCTGATTTCAAGAAACATGCACGCTCAAGGAAACATCGAGAGGTGGGCATTAAACTTAATGTATACTTGGTTATTATTCTCTATAAGTATTTGCTGGTATAGGCACACAATTATCAATCTGAACTAACCTGGTATCTCCAGACTAATGTGAATTAGTCAGTTAATTTTCAATTTATCAATGGTTGCAGACCAAATTGCTTGCTCTGAATGCAATTGCATAGATCTACAACCAGCCAGAGCAATGACACATGGCATAGCACAGTGACACATGCAACTTGGGGCAGTGCTTGGTCTGTTTTCAAACAGGAAAAAAATGTCTGCCTTGTCAAACTCTATCAAATTACAGCTAAACACTATACTACATTACAATACTGTTTCTGAAAACATTCAAGGTGAGACATGGAATATAGCTTTCCTTTTTATTAGGACAGCTGAAGATAGACAGGAAAGGGGGTAGAGAGAGGGGGGATGTCACGCTGCAAAGGGCCACAAGTTGGATTCAAACCCAAGTTTGATTTTTTTTTTTTTTTTTTGAGTTTGAGACAGAAAAAAAACTTGAATGGACAGTGGATACGGCACCTTCTGACGACAAATAATGGACAGCCACATCTGTTAACGCTCACGGTTCATTTATTAATGTCGTTTATTTCACTATTACTACCTTACTAACTTATTTTAGTCGTCGTTCGTTACCCGGAACACCTGGATTTTCACTCCGCGGGTGAGAGGGATGGATGTTCCTCATCTCACTGAAGATGAAATGGCAGAGATTAAAAAAGACGTGAGTACGATAATTCAGCCTCAAACTCTCTACCGAATAAAGGTTCACTTTTTCTTGGGTAAAGTGTGTGGGGAAATACGAGGTCGATTTGTGGCTCTGCAGACTTTATGTGTGCCTTGTTTGGCGTTAAAGGCCTGTTAAAGGAGGAAATACCCCACCTTCTTATTTGCCCTCATCAGCACTCAGTCCTCTGTAGGGTTTAACAGTATGTTGAAGCCACAGTTTAGAGGTTGAGTGCACTTTTTTCTTTTGTTATCACAAACAGTCTGCCTTATTAAAAGCACCACCAGAAGCTGAAACAGTGATAGACAACTCTGCGTTATGTAGAGCAGAGACAGACCAGGTTAAATAAGTGATTTCAGACCACCTGCTTTAGGTTTTAGTGAATATAACCTACAGTAAGTCTTTAGTTTGAGTGATAACCTGCAGATTCGAAAGAGTCACCCCTCTTGACGCCCCACTTTGTTCTCCCTTTGCCTCTCCCACATGCTGGCTGTGGGGTTTTCCCAGGTGCTGACCAGACTGCGGCACTACCTCTGTGATAAGATCAGAGCCGAACGCCACCTCGACTACCTGCGCTCTCGCAGGATCCTCACACGAGATGACGCGGAGGAAATCAGCTGCAGGTCCACGCAGACCAAGAGGACGGCCATGTTGTTGGACATCCTGGCCGAGAACCCCCGGGGCCTGGATGCCCTGACTGACTCCATAAGAGAGATGCGCTCGCAAAACTTCATCATCACCAAGATCACGGATGAGGTGCAAAAGGCCAAAAACGAGAAGCTCGAGTCCCTCAGAGGTTAGTAGGCCGAGGCACGGTGACATCTGTTGTGTATATCAACTCTGTTATATCTTCTGGATGCTTTATTTCAACTTTCCTTTCCACCTTTTCCTCTTTTATCCATCACTCCGCAGCAGGGGCTTCCAGTTCCTCATCTGACAGCAACCTCAGCTCGCCCAGCACAACCAGCGACCTCCCCTCAACGTTTTCAAACAACTCCACCCTCCTCTTCCACCCAGACGGAGAGCGAAGCCCCTCCACTTCGAATGTAGTAGGCTCGCTCAGTCTGTCCTCATTACAGAAAGGTGCAGACATGCCCTCTGGGGCTAGTGCTAGCATTGGTGTAGTATCCTCCACGACCTCCTCCAGCCTCCCGAGGCCCGGAGACCCGGGTGCTCCTCCGCTGCCGGATGAGGTAGTGGTTGAATCCCCCTCCAACATAGACGGCGGAGCGCCGGGGTGCACCAGCAGCGGAGGGGACCCGAACTTCCAGCCGCTCCGGTCACGCTCGCTCACTCCGACGTCACACAGGAGCATCTTTTAATGCCACTTCTGAATAAGACAGTGCTCATGCAGTTAAAAGGGACGGACCAGCAGATTCCTCCTATACGAACATTGTTATTATTATATACTCTCATTGTTGTCTCGCACTCTTTTTGGTGTTGCTCTTGCCTTTGATTAGGCGGTCAGAGAGAAATTGCTATACATGGAACATACTACTACTATAACAATTAGCTGTTTACAAGAGAAAATAGAGACAGTTTGTTACTTGGGCAGGGGGTATAAAGTTTTAAATACTTAAACCAACAACATTAAACATAATGCCAACACAATACCTGAATTTTGTCTGCAAAACCCTTTTCTTATTCAATAGAAGAACCCACATGTCTCAGATGTCGAATATAAGCAGCTGTACAAGAACTTCCTAAATAAAATACAGTTTAAAAGTAGCAAGAATTATGATATGAATCAGAAACTGTCTGATCAGTATTTAAGTAAAGAAGAATGCAAATTTGAGCAAGCGTTCGATGCCAGCTTTCGGTACTTAACACTTTTCCGCACATGCTTCAAACACATTTCGGTGCATTGGCGTTTGATACCCATGTCGTGAGCTGGGAAAATCTGACTCATGCACTCCTACCTTGCTCCTCTTTCATCTAACATGTGATTTCCTGATAAACCGTAAAGTGTGAAAACACAGCAGCTACAGTTTAGGTGCACTGAGAACGTTTTATACACTGGAATGACTACTTGAGCCTATAGTATGTGTGTGTGTGTGTGTGTCAGTCTGATCTCATAAGACGCTGCCTGTGACCAGCGGGATGTATTGCCAAAAATGATGATTTCCAGTTCATTCTATGCAGCATTAAGTCAACAAGGAGTTGCTTTACATTTTCGTCACTACACAAGTCTTGAATCACAACTCATTGTGAAATACAAACGATGTCCTGCTTGTTACTTCGTTCTCTGGTCATGTACAATCATCTGTTGCATACTAAAGGTTTTCTGTATGAATTCAACTCATGTTTTCTTTCTTTATTGGTGACAACGCGGTGGTTTAAAAACAAAAGGTGGGGTATCGTTATTAGATAGTTAGGACATATTACTAAGATAGAAATCCTGTAACCTTTGACTAATTTGCTTTCTATTAATACTGTCTCTACTCTTGATTGCTCTTGCAACTTAATATTCATGAAGTGAAATTCAGATTACATTCTTGACAGATTGCCAACGCGACAGTATCAGTGTATGGTTGTGCGGAGATCCTGTAACTGTGGAGCTCTATTTTGGTTTTGGAAAAACTGGAAAAGCTTAAAATGACGCAGAGGAGTGACAGTCATTGTGGTAAAGGCTGGTGAGGTGACTGCATCTGCAAACAGATCTTCATAGACAGCAGAGAAGCCCAGAAGGGTTAGACAAGATACTTTGTGGCAGGTAATTCATTTATTATTATCATTATTATTATTGTTATTACCTTTTCCTCACAATTTGTAGCCTTTTACTCTAATATATGTAGATATATTCCAGCAAAGAGTTGTTAAAATATATAATTACACTACAATAATATCTGCAATACAACTGCTTTTAACTTTAGTTTGCTTTTTCTTTAAATTTAAATTTAAATTTTAATAGTATATGTTAAGTAATTTGTTACATAAGTTGTAAGTAAGTTGACATTTGCTATATATAACTGCTCTCTGTTGCAGGCAGGTCTGTTTCAATAACCCTTTGAGCTATAAATGGATAACTGATTATTTTTGTAGTTTGTAGAGCATTATAGCTAATTTTAGCGTCATTAACATGGACTACAAACTAACATTTTAGAGATTTTAGAGTGACACTGACAGACACAGTAAGCACATGCAGGAGAACCAGTTTGATAAACATCAGAATGACTGGAATGGTTGTACTCTTACCTAATCTTCAGCACATTTCTGATGTGTCTTCTGTGAAACACATAACCGTCTCCCTTAAAAATAGTCAGATTCGGGTCTGTACTTCAGTATAATGGAGGACTGCGAGCAGCTGTTTGCTGGGAGGTCAGAGGAGAGGAGGCTGAACGGCCACTGCAGATGCAGCGCTCACACTCAGAGCCTGGAGTCAAAGGTGGTGGAGGACTTCAGACGGAGGCTCAAGTACTTCTTCATGAACCCCTGTGAAAAATACAGAGCCAGAGGTCGCAAACCATGGAAACTGATGCTACAAATACTAAAAATCGCAATCATCACAATCCAGGTACTATACATAATTATTTGGTTAGTTCTTGGCTAGATGTCTCTTGGTCTGAAATGTGTATGTTTTTTTTTTATCTGCTTCAGTTAGTCTCTTTTGGCCTGAGCAATGAAATGATGGTCACCTTCAAAGAAGAAAATCTGATGACATTCAGACACCTGTTTCTAAAAGGATACAAGGACCACCGGCTGGGAAGCTTTGCACTGTACACAAAAGCAGATGTGTGTGATCACATCTACTACGTCATCGACAGGGTACTGACATTTGAGATTTAATTTCATCGCAAAAATGTATAGTTTTATTGCATGAAGAAAAGTTTAACTCTTTCCATATTCATTCTCCAGTACATCGACCTCCACAACCTGACAGTAGGTAACCTTGCATATGAGAGGGTTGATGGAAAGTACACTCCTCTGTCTGTCTGTCAAGAGTTTTACAGAAACAGCACAATCGATCCTGGAAATGAGACCTTTAACATTGATCCACACATTGACAAAGGTAAAAACAAATTGCTATTTAAAGGCATAAACAGGTTTTATTTATGTACCATAACTACCTTGTGTTGCATACATTTTTGATTTTGTGTGGAAGATGTATTTATGGAAGCTGATTCATGGCATGAATGGAAAATAATCGCAATATGGATTTACTTGTGACTCCGTTAAAAGAGGAAGCTTGTACTCTAATATGCTGAATAATTCCTCTGCTGAACCATCCAATGACTAACTGATCTAACATTGTTTATCGCCTGTATTTCCTCCTCACAGATTGTATTTCCATATATCCCATGCAGTCGTTTGACAACAGCAGTTTGGCGTCGCACGTGAACTTCTCTTTAGATTTCAAAAGGTGACTGAACTGAAAATACTGGTTTCATGCCAGGCAATAAAGAGTGCCTTCTGCTAATATATGTTTGTGTGACCAGGCTGCTATCAGTGAGCATCTACCTAACCCTGAAAACCATCAATCTGCAGACTGTGCGCCACCACGAGCTACCAGACTGTTATGACTTCCATATAATGGTTGGTGACTACATCTGAATAATGCCAGATGCGGGTGGCTTCTGGCTGATATGACTAGTTAACAAATGAAAACATACATGAATACATGAATAATTTGTGTTTAACTTGCCACTCACTAACTCTTTCTTTGTTTTACACAGATCATGTTTGACAACCGTGCACATAGCGGGAAGATAAAGGTTGATGTTGTGAATGATGTAAGAATTTATGAATGCAGAGACTGGAATGTGGAAGGCACTTGTAAGTTTGAACCCAAACTCAATTTTATATACTTCCACATACTGTATATACCCAGACAAATATATACAGGTTATTGGTTCAAAGGCCAGCAAGGGGCACAATGACATTATTCTGTAACCAGTAAATGCAACATTTAACCTAACCTGAGATCTGTGACTCTGTTTTCCAGCTGATAAGAACGATTATCTCCTCTTGTCCTTTGATTCTCTGGTCATCCTCGCCTGCTTCACCTCTCTCATCCTCTGCATGCGATCTGTCATCAACGGCATCCAACTCCAGTTTGTAAGTTAACAAAATAAATGGATTATTACACTGACCACTGATGGATGTACAGGATTTTAGTACATTTCAGCTATATTTACAGTTAAGCCATTAGGTAATTCATTCAGTGGACTGTAGCTATATCGGACACTGAGGTCAATTTGAGTTTACATTATACAGTTAATGGTGGGTGTTTTAGAGGCTAATTCCAGTAATTTTAGACTCAGTATATTTAAATTTGACTACTTTTAAGCCAATAATGAATAAATTAAGAATAAATAAAGGATTCCGTTTTTCAGAGTGGAAAAGGCTTTAAACAGCATTCAGATATTGTTTTGTTTGTTTGTTTATTTAAGGAGGGACAATGCATATGAATTAACATGAGGAGGATTTATGTAACGTTTTTTGAGGGGTTTTTAATTGTCACCTCATCATCAAATAAAAAGTACAAACTTCTCATAAAGTGTTATATTGTGGTAATTAAGCAACTGCCATGTGTAGAGATGAATCCTGGTTTGTTGCATATCTGTTTTACAATATCTGAGTTTCTCTCATGCAGGAGTTCAACATATTCTTCCACGCATACTACAATAAAATTGTGACTTGGTCGGACCGCATGGAGTTTGTGAATGGCTGGTATATCCTCATCATTGTGAGTGACACACTGACTATCGCTGGGTCAGCTCTCAAAATTGGAATACAAACAAAGGTTTGTTTAGCCCTGGCTATGATTTTATTTAGATTATTTACTGGTTGGCTTTAAGAGAAGCCTGGAAATCTTATGTATGCAGCATCATATATGAAAATGAACTTAATTAATTGTACTTTCTTTCCTCTTGCAGTACCTGACAAACTATGATGTCTGCAGTATCTTGCTGGGAACAGCCACAATGCTGGTCTGGGTCAGCGTGATTCGTTACCTTGGCTTCTTTAAGAAATACAATGTAAGAGCTTCCATGACACTGCTCTTTGTTTTAGCCTAATGCATATACTTGTCAAACGTAGCTAATGCATATCCAGAGGAACTGATGCCTTCACTCCTTTCTAGATATTAATCTTAACTCTAAGGGCGGCATTCCCAAATGTGATCCGATTCTGCTGCTGTGCGGCCATGATCTACCTCGGGTACTGTTTCTGTGGTTGGATCGTCCTTGGGCCTTACCATGACAAAGTATGGAAATTATAATTATAATCTATTTCAAGTGTCAGTGTGGCCTGATACATTCCCAGAAGCATGAATGAGCTTTGTTCTTTTGACACTGAAATATTAAAAGTTAATTATTTAAACTGTTTCGTCCAGTTCCGAACACTCGACAAGGTAACAGAGTGCCTCTTCTCCCTCATCAACGGGGACGACATGTACGCCACCTTCCTGAAAATGAGAGACAAGAGCTACATGGTGTGGCTTTTCAGTAGAATTTACCTCTACTCCTTCATCTCCCTCTTCATCTACATGGTGCTAAGCCTGTTCATCGCTCTCATTACTGACACATATGAGACCATCAAGGTCAGTCTGACTCACCTGAGACATATTCTTAGAGAGATGTTTTCAGGTCATCGTTTCTATTTATCCTTTGCGTGTCTTAATACTATAAAATGATTCTTGTCCAGCATCACCAGCAAGAAAAGGTGCCAGTGTCCCAGCTTCAGGCCTTCATAGCAGAGTGCAGGGACCAGCCTGAGTCTGGAAGATACCAGACTGATGAAGAGCCAGCTTCCTGCTGCCTCTCTCCATGCAGCTGCTTTCGATGAAGTGAGAAGATGTGGCTTTTACCACTGACAAGTGTGGACAATATGTGGCATATCACGAGACTGACAAAGAGTCCAGAGTGTCTGCACAGGCATTTGATTATACTGATGCGTGATAAGAATAACTTCTTACTCAACTTACTTAGAAGTTATTTTCTACTTGACTTGCTAACACTACTGAAGTAAAATCACCATTGGAGATTGCTCAGCGGACCAGTTAGTTATATGATCACCAGTGAAATAGCCTGATGGTAATAATTTGAATGCACTAAAAACCAATTCGTCCTCAGTTCAATGCTTTAAGAGTTAATGGAGATAAAGATTTCTCAGAGATTACCTGATGAGGAATTTTCTCCTAACTGCACAAACAGCATAACTTATGAGCACTATGAGTATCCTAAATGTACTATATAATGGTAAAAAGCTACTCAGTTAAAGTAAAGTTCATTGCAAATGGTTGATTTTTACAGAGCCCCTTAAGTCCCCGAAAGGAAATATCTTTATCTTGTGCACACAAGTTATTATCTTATTGGCACAAGTTACTTATCTTGTGCCCATAAGATAATTTACTATAAATATGCATATGCATCTCTAACGGAGACTCTAATGGAGAGAACTCATATAAGTTGTATAAGTTTTATTTTCACCTCTGGACGTCATACCATGAAATTCTTGCTGCACTTGCTGAAATCTGAATGTCTGCCAGATTCTGTTTGGGGCATGGACACTTTGGTAAAACGGGTGAATAACAGAAAGCTATCTTTCTCAACTATCTTATCAACCAGC